TTTAAACTTAAGTTAAATAGTATAAAAGTAAATAATTAACTTACACACACATATATATATATATATATATATATATATATATATATATATTACTTTAACTCAAAATGTGCACATGATATGTGCCCTTCAGAGTTCTTTGCATTTATTATTCATAAAAAAAATTATCTGTAAAACATTTTTATATAGTTATTAAGATGACTGTGTGGTTCAGAAATGATTCTCCAAAGTTAGTATCCAGATTAGCTACTGAGAGAAAATTAGCAACAGCTACACCATCAATTTCAGTACCCTAAAGTGCCATGTAGCAAAACATACATCAGAAAAAGAACAGTTATTTTTTAGGGATGCACGCGTACCCATCCAGGTATTTGGCCCTGGCCGGTTATTGGGCTACCTGATAATACTCTGACCAGGTGTCGAGGTTAAAAACAGCCAATTCCGGGTAATTAAAAATGGCATCTAAGTCCTAATCAACTTATACAGTACTGAATGTTACAGTCAATAATTGGTTTAGTTAAAGAAACATGTTCCGAGCAACAAAGACTGACCACCTGCTGAAAGTTGAGGATTCAGAGAACTACAGAGGTTAATAACAGGCATGGTTTGAGAAGTGAATTTCTGGGGAAGGTGGTGGTTTTGAGAACAATATGGGTTAGCGTTTGAGAAATTGGGGCTAGGCATTAATCGGAATAATGATTCTAAAACATATGACCATGACTGTTTCTGCATTTACTTTCACTGACATCACTTTTGGAAGTTAAATGCAGCTTGATTTCCCACCTCTGACCAGTGCAGACAGCGAAAAGGCTTTTAGTGCCACTAGCAACATTATCACATACGAAAGGTCAAGGTTTTTACCTGAAAATGCTGAAATGCTACTGTTCCTCAAGTACAATTTAAACAAATTCCCAAAATACAGGCATTCTGTAAACTGGTGTACACATTTTTGATAGTCAATTTTGAAAGTTGAAAGTAAAACTGGAATGTTCTATTGTTGATTGTTCGGTTAAATGTAATAAACATAATTTTTTTTTTTGTTTCTAACTTTTGTGTATGTTATTTATTTTTTTGGGGGGGAGGGGCGAGGGGAGAACCCGGTCCTGATTGACACCTGGCCCCCAGATCCAGTATTCAGTCAAATTTTACTACCCATGCATCCCTAGTTATTTTCAAATCAATAACCATAACATAAATAATAATCATGCTAGTGCAAGTACATGAAAATATGCAGATAAAGATGTTTGCTTTTTCCCCCAGAAGACAAGGATGTAAGGATTATATATGATATGTGTGAGAGAATTCCATGGGTACAATAATGAAGTAAAATTCTAATTTATAGAGTATGTTGTGCATACATACAGTTACTAAGGACAGTGCCAATTTTGGAAGTATTTGCTATAATCATATTTTTCTAATAATCAATAACATATCTACAAAAAAAGGATCATAAACACAACTGGCTTTTCTTGATTTGATATAATGGTACATAAAAATTACTGCTGAAATAGGTTACTTACAAGATCTTGTAAATGCATGTTTATTTAGGTCAAAGTGTACATGTCACAACAATGTAGAGAGTTACATTCAAAATTTAATTATTTTATTATCATCGTATACAAATAAGCTTGGCATCAAAACATAGTTAATGAATCAAACTTTAATACAAAGTTTAAGTTCTTAATTTTATAAAGAAATATTTTTTAAAATCTTCAATCTTCCCTAGTATAAGAATTGTGACATTTGCTCTCTAGGTCTTCTTCTTCTCTAAATTATTTACCATCCCTCTTAAGAGTATGAAATTACTTATTATAATATAAATATTACTAAGGTAAAGCATTATTTTTATAGCCTTCAATCAGATTCATTTGTCACACCCACCTACCACATCCTCTCTTCCACAAATTGCCAATAGTTCTCTCTGGCATTTCATATTATTTATAATCAACAGAAAGCCAAGGTTTTAACCTATTATATGATGTATTATGTTGTTGTTTTTTCAATACAGAGAATTTTCTATTTTGTTTTCAGTTTCAAATTTTCTCTTGCAGTATTCAGACTGAGAAGCTTAAGTTAAGATTTGAAGGCTCTTATACTAAAGTTAGAAAGCCAGAAAAATCATGATAGCTATAGAACACTGCTTTGTGCATGTTATTATTCTGTGTTCTTAGGTGCATTATTTAAGTAAATAAAACTTATTCAGTGTACTAGTGGCATTAGTATGAAAAAAAAAAGTAGGTGTAAGATACATTGGCAACCAATAGCAAAAAATCAAGCAAGTGATATAGTTCTTGTTTTTTATATATTATTATAAAAGTAAATAAATGTAAAAATTAAAACTTACTAGGTTAGATACAGTTAGATTAGGTAAGACAATGAAAATAATAAGTATAAAAATGTTTCATAAGGTATGAAAGCGAGCAGCTGTGTGTTATGTAATTTGATACAGTAATATAAGCTATACTTTTGCAAAGTAATTTACAACTTGTGTGCTGGGATTATTAGTCAGACACAGGTCAATATGCAATAAAACAATAACATTTAACTAGAAACAAATGTGTACTGTTATGAGCTTTAAGCTATTTAGGACAAACAACTGTAGTATCCAGTTACAATTAGCAGTCATCCTAGATAAAAAATGGCAATTTAGATCAATTGCATATTTCTTTTATGGTGGTTACAAAATGGTTAAATTGACCTAATGCATATAGAGTTATGGTAGAAAAAATAAATAAATACTGAAGAAAAACGTTTGATATTTATGAAGGAGGTTTTAGACATTATGCTAATGAAATTTTACAATTTTCAGATGAAGTATTTTTAATCTTAACATGAAAATCACTTTGCACTCAGAACAGTTGACAATTTGACTACATGTATATACAGGGACAAATTTTTAGTAAAAATTGATTACAAAATCTGATATTTTTATGTACAAAAGACTTGTAATGTTTACTGAAAGCTTGCCAAATTTCATGAATATATACAAAACATATTAAAAATTATAGTATGAAAACTGACAGCTACTCAGCCAGTAGTAAGTGGGTTAAATACAACCCAAGTATGACACAAATGAATTTATGATTGGTATAAGCATACAACACTAAGTCTGATCAATTATACCTTAAAATTCTGTTTGATGGCTTTTTATACCAGGTAATGTTTAATACACAACATCAGATCCATTTGCCCGAAGATTTTATTATTGTTTGTCTCTCCTAATTTGTCTGGTGTGGAATTGATGTTAATGTAGCCTGAGATTGCATACAGTAGTTATGATACAGCTGTAAAATGTGCAAAATTAATTCACATTAAATTTCCACAATATTCATTACAGTAATGTTTTTACCATATTCCATAAGGGAGGACAAAATATTTTAATTGCAAGTGTTAATATGAACCATGTTATATTAGTTTGGTAATTAGAAATCTACAAAATAATAAAGAAAATAATTTATGTTTATGAAATGATAATTTAAAAAGACGGAAAAAGAAAACTTATGCTGCACTTGACTGAAGACAAATAACTCATCATCAATCAAAATAAAGTAAGTTTAAAACTACTTTTAAATACAAAAAACACTTACTCTTTTTTGTGTTCCCAAACAAAAAAGTAACAGCCACATGATTGGTTCTTGTCTTAAGAAAAAGTAACAGCCAGGATAGATCAAAAGTGCCCCTACAGCCAGGAATAGCACATAAAATTGCACCGGATTACGAAAGTAAGGTGACTTGTGTACCACCAGTACAAACAATATGCATCCCACTAACACTATCTAGGAAAAAGAAAAAAAAACTATTTCAAATGTTGCTTTAACAGTTTCTACCATAGCACTACAGATTATCTTCTCACTATCTTGCAAAAGAAAAATTCTCTTTAAAAAAGAAACTAAAAATATTTATATATATAACCTTTCCTGGAGATTGGAATTGTATGCACCTGAATACAATATTCTATATGTAGTTTTGTTGAATAGATTTTTTTTTCCCACCTTAAATATAATTTAACCTTCTCACTATGGGCATCCTTTCCAGAATATGTCACAAGGTTTTACCGAGTTACATTTAAAGTATAATTACACTACTTTGTTATCATGGAATACAAATACATTGACATAAAAACATAGCTATTAATCCAAATTTTAATACAAGTTTTATGTTCTTAATTATTTTTAAAAAATCCTATATTTCCCCTAGTATGAACATTGTTACATTTCCTTTCTAGATATCCCTTTTATCTAATTTATTTACCATGTCTCCAAGAAGTATGACATTTAACATACATTAGTTATTACAATGTTATCACTCAGGCAAAGTATAATCTTTATAGCCTTCAATCTTATTTAGATACAGAACCATAAAATAGAAAATCAGACCCCTCTTGCTATGCTCACCAGTCACATTCTTTCTTTCAGAAATAGCCAATTTCTGATGTTCAATTCTATATTATTTATAATTAATAAAAAGCCAAAGTTTTAATGTATCAAAGGACATGTTATATTACATTGTTTGCTGTACAGAGAATTGTCTATTTTGCTTCCAGTCCAAACTTTATTCCCAGGGGAAACACACTAACGAGCTTAACTGAATTTTTAACAGTTCTTGTTGCATAGTTAGAAAGCTAGAAAAACTGTGATATTTATAAGACATTGTCTGCTTTTAGCATGTTATTTTTCTGTGTTCTTTGGTGCATTACTTAATTAAATAAAAAATTATTTAGTGTAATAGTACCATTAGTATAATAAAGTAGGTTAAGTTTTATCAACATTCAGGTGTGTTCTTTATTTATTATTACTGAAGTAACTAAAATATAAAAGTTAGAAACTTTTTTAGGCTAGATAAGGTTAGATTACATAAAATAAAGAATAATAAGAAAAAATAAAATTTCCTGAGGTATGCTCGCCAGCAATATGAGCTACATGTTTGCCAAGTGATTTAAGGCTTGTGTGGTGGGAATATTAGTTGGTTAGAAGGGCAATAAAACAATAAAATTTAAGCATAAACAGATGTATACTGTTACAAGTTTAAGACTACTTAGGATACAAAAATGTAGTTTTATGTTACAATTTGAAGTCATTCCAGAAGGAATATGGTAACTTAAATTTACTTGAAATTTTTTTCTTGGTGGTTACGAGGTCAATTAAATTGACCAACCTCATATCGAGTTATGGTAGTTAAAATAACAGATGAAATTATAAAATTTTACATTAAAAAAAATGTTTGAAATTTATTTAAGTAGTTTGAGATTATGCAAATGAAATTTGAGATTTTTCAGATAAATAAAAGTATTTTTAATCATAACATGAAAATCACTTGCACTCAGAGCAGTCAATATTAACTTCATGTATTTGTGGAGATATCTTTAGTGAAAATACTTCTTTAAAAATTCTAATTTTTTGTCTACAAATGACTCTTAACGCTTGCATAAAGCTAGCAAAATTTCATGAAAATACACAAAACATATTAGAAGTTATAGTATAGATACTCTACAGGTCAGGACAATTTTTAGGGAAAATCGACCAAGCCCATAGCAAAAGAGTTAATCACATCTCAAAAGTAGAATTACAGATCTGTCAAAAGATATTAACACAAATAATATTCTGTTGTAAAATGAGCAATAAAATTACAACTCTCACTACTGTGTCAAATTTTTGAGAATGGAGATTCATATTTTGGATCAAGTTGTATTTTATTTCATTCTAGATGTTTCCTACAGAATCCCTCATAATTTTAAGAAAAATAATATAGGTTATAATCTCCTAGGTTTTTGGACACAAAAAATCATGAATCTAGTACCAAATCATACCACTAAGTAATACTATTTAACAAACATCAATAACAGACAGCTTTTTACGATATTTTTTGTAAGTATATACAGGGTGTCTGAAAATATAGGAACTTCAATGAATTTTAAAGAATGTGTTCCACATTGTGTCCTTATGATTCAAAAAAAAGTTTGGATTAACAGCAAGATTAACTCAACCTCCTCATCCTTTGACAGCACCATAATCAGTAACATGTCTAAAATTAAGAACAGCTACAAATCACCTATGGTTCCAGACTTTTCAGACACTCTGTAGATTACCAGTTATGTTTTGAAACAAATATGGTTAAGACAAGGAACTAACAAAATGTCTTTCTACTGTTGATTACTTCGTTGGAAGTTTTCCCTTTATCTTTGAATTATGAAGGGAAGATTTATTTCAAGGTCCAATTTTTCTTCCTCCCAGCTATTAAAAACTATTTAAGACAGTTGATGAAAATGACAGTATTCTATCACCTTTCCATTTGACATTCACTTAACATAAAAAAACAAAACAAATTAGCATAGGAAATTTATAGTATATTATTTTAATTACATGATTTGTTGGAATTAATTTAACAGAAATAAATAGTCAATATTCTTTGATAGATTGTTTAAGCAGAGTATTCATGATGAAACTTAGTTGAATGGATGGCAACTGCCTGTTGTAGAAAAGCAAGAGTAGAGGATGCCGTTTTTAAAGTCTTCCACCTTTCTTCTTCAGGTCAGTGTGTGTATGGTGTAGTCAGTCTGTATAATATTCAGGTGGATTGTGGAGAGTATGTTATGATTGGCTGACAAATTTTGGAAGACAAGAAAAATTAAAGAATCATTTTTACATTAATACAATTAAACCTTCACTGAACAGAGATTCCAAATTAGAGGCGAGTAGCCTGTGGCTACCATTGGATGAATCTAAAGGGAATCTCTCCACCAATCAGAAACAGGGATAAACCAACCAATCATAATACACTCCCCACCAATACACTATAAAAACAGACTACAATAAACACACACACACTGACCTGTAGATGAAGGGCGTAAGACTTTCGAAACTTCATCCTCTACACTTGTGTTTCTACAACAGGCAGTTGCCATTCGTTTAACTAAGTTTCATCATATGGTTATTGTTACACTGAAGAGTTATTTTGCTATTATATCTAGTACACAAGGTCTTGGTGGGTTAAAAAATATATATATACAATATCTTGACATTTTAATAAGCTGATATCAATTATGCATTGGACTGACCAAGTCGTTACGCTGCTTTAAAAGAACTTGTTACAAATACTCCTTTGAAAACAGTTTTTGTATTACTAACTTTTCTACCTCAGTATTGTCAAAAACTGGCAGTTTTTGAAACACAAAATACCTTGCTATAAATAGAATTTCCAACACCTTTCTGATATTGAAGCTACTCAGTTTTTAGTTGTTTTTGACCATAACTTATAATGTTCTTACCTCAGTCAACTTACTTGAGAAAAACTTGATACATTTGAAGACATCATTGATATTTGTGGTACTACAGCCTGAAAAAAAAATAAATAATGATAATAATCACCAAGAAACATCCAATATTACAACAGTGTATATTAGCAAGGTTTACTACAAGAAGTAGTATTGAAGATGAATATTTAAGGAAGATATTCTATATTTCCAAAATTTTTATCTAAACTTTGGAAACCACAAAACAGGGTGTTAATATACCCAATTTTCAGTCTCAGAGGGATAAGGTAGTGTTGTTGCAAGCCTTTGAATGTCTCTATAAAAATGACAGCAAATTTATAAATAAGAAGTTAATGTCTCTAAACATACTTCACAAATACAAATATATATATATATAATAACATTAATAACAACTACCAGAACTTAGGTGAAACCTCAGATTTTAATCTGAACATAAAATGTACATAACATTTTTATTACAAAAATATTCTTTAATGTCCATAGTTAAATGCTTCAATATTGAATTTTCATTACATTTTTTGGTGTTGGTGGAGGGAATTTAATGAAAAAAAGACTTCAACAGAATGACTATACATATGATCATAGCTCCTTGTTTGATTTTCTATAGAAGTGTTTAATGATTACCTTCCAAAACAGTTATAATTAATACAAACATAGCAAGTTAAATTCACTATATCCTAAAAGTATATTCCATTTGTTAATTGTTCTTTATATTTACATATGTATGTATATGTATATTTTATAACTTACTAGTTGTCCCAGGTACAATAATGACACACTGAGAAAAAGTACCATTCCTTGTGTCACAAAGAATACCTCACCCACTGTGAAACTTCTGGGGAAACACTCGGCAACTGACAGTATAAGTTTATTAAACACAAGATGGTTGAAGTAGTTAAGACAAAGTGATGTAAGAAGACCTGTAGTAAAAAATACAATATGTTAGATCAATTTCATGTGAGATCAAAAACCTTACTATTTATATTTATACAGTATCTTTGAATACACGTGGTTTCAAAACATATCAACTACTATTAAATTAAATTTTTTTCAAATTTACTTCACTGAGAAATGAAACATTTTTTAACAACCACATCTTAAGAACTGTTTCAAAATGGGTAAAAATTTAATTCAGCTACTTCATCATCATCTCTTAATCATCATCTCTTAAATCATTGGAACACAACCTGTTTTAAGAATACGCGTGTGTATTTAGATATCTAAAAAGATTAACCTTGATTCTCAAATTCCAATGTTTACTGCCAGTTAAGCACAAAAATTTAATGAAATTACTATGATAAAAAAAAAAAAACAATTATATAATTTAAGTTGCCCCAAAATAGAAATAGAAACATCAGTTAATTATTTCTTATTTGACAAATAACTTTCTCAATTACTAAATAATTGTTATATAACATTGACAGAAGTGATTAATGTAGCAATACATACACAAAAAGCTTTCATAAAGAATTAAATAGCTCTGTTAACAACTAATACTACTGTATAAATTAAATTGGTCCTCTTATATTAGAATATCTAATGTGAATTTGGCTTATTTTGATATATAAATTATAAACAATTCTTCTTATACTGAATGTATGAATGCTATCACCAAAACATATTTTTCAGTTCATTAAAGGGTTAGCTAGGTAAATTTGGAAAGAGATTCCTCTTTCCAAAGGACTGGATAGTTAAAAAAGAAATGGAAAACTAAAAACACATTAAACATCTCAAAAATACTAACCAGACTAACTTTTTTGTTTTGCTTAGTTAAAGGTAAAAAGTACACAGATATTTGCTAGCATTTTGGGATGTAGTGTGGTTAACATTAATTACCAAGAAAATTGTAGGTATTTTACAGATTTTGTCGAAATAGCACCATAAAATTCTCTCCATTACTGTTTTCTGTAATACACCTGTCTCTATTATTTACCAAGCATATATATGTAACTGTGAATACTCATGCTTTTGTACTTAAAATAGAAATAAGATATTAACCCTATTTGTGTGAGTCAAAGTGCACATTGTAGGATCTTTTATAGTGTTATCCAACATGTTATTATATATTTGAAGTCACAGTTATCAAGTCTTCATTACTCTAGTTGCTAATTTAGCATTAGTTCCTGTTAGAGGAAACTAAATACCAGATACAATACACAGGGATACTGAGAAACATTGTAGATGTGTATTTCAGAGGTTATAAAGATTATGTGAATGCAATATGCTAACTGTATTATGGACAGAAGTATTTTTACATGAACATCACCTTGTACCCAACCACATCTTGAGTATGAATACTTTTGTATTACATTCTTCTCCAATATTTGATCCAATGGAATGACCCCATGCACAATCGGGTAACTGAACAAACACCAATATCTATTCTAATTTACAAAATCTCCTCACCTAGTTTTGAGACGATAAACAGCAGCATGCTTTCAGTTAATGGTGGAAGCAGAAGCATGGCAGGAGGCAATGGTATGCCATTAAGTTGATCAGACAGTAAAGTAATAGTACTTGCTGTGAGTAGAAATCCACACAGGAAGCATGCTACTTCATACAGCTCTATCAAAAACATATTAAACCACAAAAAAATTAATGAATTGGACTGACAAATAACAACTGTAGTATAACCATAACAAAACTATAAAATTATTTTGGCCCCTGTAAATAAGTGTGTTTATTTTCATTAATTCTTAAAACTCAGAGAGGAGAAAGAAAAAAAGAGAGAACTAATTTTCACACTTTTATAAGAATACAGCATCAGAATGTATACTAATGGTACTTACAGCAGCTGCCAGCTACAGATTGTATTTAATATCTGGTTTAGATACCACAGTGTTATAAACTGTGAAGAACTGGCTTTTCTGTAGTGTAAACGATAACTTGTAGCTACGTAGCTTCTGTTATAATGGATATTAAAAACAAGTTATCTTCTAAATTGTGATCATTAAACTGACAACATAAAACATGAGCATATAAATATTTTTATATCCTTCAGTTTTGTTCAGCAAAATGTCCTGAAGAGTGCACTTGGATTTTTTCCAGCACCATCATTAAATTAATTTCCAAAGCTAATAGTTATTTCAAACCCTGTAGATTTTTCATGAGAATAATTCCATAGATATCATCATTTACTTTATGGTGGTTTTACTCTAGGTCAAACATAAAAATACAAGTTAAAAATCATTGTTTTCCAAAAAATTTCTAAAAAATTTAGTTTTTACAATACTTTTTAAGATCTGAAATATTAAAAACTGAATTCCAAAACCTTCTATGCATATACAGACACTGGTCTTGAATTAAAAAAGTACACTGATTAGCATTACAATTATCTAAGCTCAGCATATAAATATAGTACAATTTAGAATTTTAGCTTTCACAAATTATTTTCAGTTATATTCAAATCAAATATTTTCTAATCCTTTCTTTGAACTTGTGACATGTTATTGAATCAAATATTTGTTTCTAAAAACTAGAGTAGATTAACTGACTAGAGTCGGCTTCCAGACAATAGCTGCTTGTGAAATACGAGTACTTATGTAGGTTTAATATTGTTTTTATATTACAAACAAACCACACACATTAAATTAACAGATATTTAAATAATTGTTACAAATTTAAAGAATTTGTCACAACTGTTCTAAGAAATAGCATATGAAACTTATAAAAACACAAAACCTCAAATAACGCACACAGTATAAAAGCACTTTTTAATTTTTATTAAAGATTTATCCAGGTGAATGTACGTAAAACAACAAAATTGGATTCTAAAGAAATACACTACACAGTTTCTGTTGACGTCAAATAGTGGTCAACGTTGGATAATGAATACGAATTCACAGTCAACTAAGTCATGCTGTTCTAATTTTTACAGTGATTAATTACTCAGTGTATAAGGAAGTTGGGTTACTGCTACAGCCCTTTTGAACTACATCGTACATGCTGCACAGGTTTCAAGGAGAAACATCTTACAAGACTATTATCATAACAAAAAAATTTAAGACATGCTCTACAACTACTGAATAGGAAGATGAAAAATATAAACCTTAGAAAAGTTCAAGTAAAAATATATGTAAATAGCAAATAAAAGCTTTCAAACAGTGATAAAACTAAGTGTTAAACCTAACATCATTATAACCTCCTTTCTGGACTAGTTTATTCACTATAAGTAACACATGTCCGCATCCTAAAAAATAAAAACAACCGTTAAATTTCTTTGATAGATTGTTTAGGCAGAGTATTCGTGATGAATCTTTGTTGAACAGACAGCAACTGCCTGTTATAGAAACAGATCTATAGAGGACAACGTTTCGAAAGTCTTCCACCTTTCGTCTTCAGGTGATGAAAGACTTTTGAAACATCGTCCTCTACCATTGTGTTTCTACAACAGGTAGTTGCCGTCCATTCAACAAAGTTTCATCAATTGTTAAATTATAGAAGATAAAATTTTCATTATTTAAGAATAAGTTGATAAAAATAACTACTATTAAACTTTTAAAATTTCCCTCAAAATAATTCCATAAAAAATATAGCTTGAATATACCGTAAGAAAAATTAAAAATTCATCAGTTCATCAGACTGCAGTGTGAAGAATTTTTAGACAGTTTGGTTAGCTCATCAAAGCTTCTGTAGTGTGAAGACTATATACAATTCCCTTTACAATCTTAAACACCTCAATCAGATCCCCCTAACTCTTATTTTTTAAAGAGAAAACAATTTGAAAGATTTCAACCTATCCTCATATGACAACCCCTCCATCCCAGGCACCATTCTAGTAACCCTTCTCTGAACCCTTTTCACCAATTCAGAATATTTCCAAAGGTAAAGAGCCCAAGACTGAACACAATATTCCAATGATCTATACAATGAAATTATAGCCTCTTTAGACTTGCCCTACCACTAGCAACAGCACACTGCTTGGATGGCTTCAGAAACTGATCAATTATTACATCAAGATCCCTTTCTTTCATGATATTATTAAGGGTTATTCCCATCCAAATT